CATGCAGATCTAAGGTGCTGGGTAGGTTCATACAGGAAGAGGCGCTCCTTTAGATACCCTGGTCCCAAGCCCTTCTTGGCCCTTGTGTCACTGGCTTATGAAGAGGCTGGGCTAGGAAGAGCTTAGGTAATAATTCCTTTGACGTGTCTTGGGACTGCTAAGTAATGTCTTTAAATCAGGTTCTGCCTTTAATCTGTTTGGAAGCACTGCGGGGAATGAGATACATGTGCTAAAAAAAGTATGGCCTTTTCTGAGTGATAGAGAAGTTAAGTTTACTCCAAAAAAATTGCAAAACTGTTATCCCTTGCTGTCTTCTAATGGTGTTTGTCTAAGAACAAATTCAGTGTTAGCGGAATAGCCTGTAAATCAGATTGACTGATGTTTTTGACTGCAGCCATGATCCAAGGCTAGTATGCAAACTGCAGAGATGAACTGAGTTTTCACCCAACCTGTGAGCACTAGTGAACTGGCCTTGGGTGACTAGCACTGCCCTGGAACAAGGAGGGCCAGCATGCCATCTTACACTTGACTGCCTGCTGGGTGTCACTTGCCATTTGCTTCAAAAAAGACTACCATAAACAGCAATTCAGTATTTCCGAGAAAGCTGGTATTCTGCTAATAGTTAGGACTACTTATTTTCCTGTTGACACTTAAATACAACTCTGTGAACAAACTCTAAATTTAGGAGCTCACACATTTTTACTAGACTTGTGCTCTCAGAAAATGTATGTCAGTTGTCCTTGGTACACTGGCAGCTCATAACAAAAACAATTATCTTCCACTGTATAAGAGCTTCCGGTTCTGAAAGTGATTGCTGCTTGCTGTAAGGCTTGCTGCAAGGTTTACAGGCTTTGTTTAATATAGATCAGAGTTAGCCTTATTAGGAAACTCTTGGATGCTTGAGGTAGCACTTCGGACTGCATAGTTTTTAAAGCAGCACATTTGCTCTGCTTCGGAAATGAGAAGTGCTGAGGGAAACAGTAGGTAGTATGAGAAGGTGGAATGGATTAAATTAAAGCTAATGAGCCTATCATTTGTCCCTGGACTAGGAATTAAGCGTAGGTGAATAAATAGCCTATTCAGCCAGATTTCATGGGGGTGCCTGTAAAGGGCAGCTACCATTATAAGTGGATGATGCTTCTTCCATGTTGGAATTTTCCCTGTTGAGGTTCAAGTAGAAAAGACAGACCCGGAAGATTTTAGTATTTCATAACTCAGCATTGAGATGGAAACCTGCTTTTCAGCAGTAGGAAAGCACTTCTGCATTAACTTGAAAGTCTAAGCAGCCCAAATGCTTTGGATGTCTCAGCCTTTTTCAGGCTCTCAGTCTTTTCACTTAGAAGATCTGCAGAAGACTGCAGTATGTTTCAAAGGTAGTACCATACCTTGCAGTACCCAGATTTTTCATCCTGCTTTCATATGGCTTTTTGTGTGTGACTGATCTCCTCGGGTGAATTTTCCTCTGTTCTGTGCCAGAAAACTCAGCATCCTTTATCTAAAATATTTTTTCCCGAGCAACTTGTTCAGAAAAATGGGCTGCAGTCACATGATCCTAGCAATGTTTTCTTGAGAACTATCTCTAGGGTTGGGCAGTGGGCATGCCTCCTATTCAACAATTTGTGGATTAATGCTGGTCTGCATGTGAGGAAAGCTGTTGGTGTCAAAGGTATGAAGTAGAGCTGTTGTTTTCTTGGCCATCTCCAACTGCTAATGCCTTTTCATTAGTGCTTCCAAGCATGGCACGCATGCTTCATTGTGATTGCTTCTAAATGCCAAGGTTGAGTAGCTCTGATGCCTTGCATAAACTGAGCTATGTGCTATATTTGTTGCAAGTGCCTGGTAGGTAGCAGTTTACATTACGTCAAAGAAATTGCAGGCCTTGCTTTAGATCTAGAAGTTGTGCAGAGATATAATCGTGTGTGTGTGTGTGTGTGTGTGTGTGTATTCTTGTGACCGGGCAGAAAAAGAGACTGAATGTGTATTCAGGCATTGCCATATCTTTACCATTGAATGGAATTGCTTCTAGGCTGTACAGCACTTTGGATTCTGCACTGATACTACAGCCTCTACCACTTGCAAAATCTGGCCTCTTGCAGACTTACTAGATTAAGCAAGAGTCTAGAAGGTTGTTCTTCAATGACTGATTACATTGAACAGGACCTGTATAAGATTATTGTCAAGTTTTCTTCAGCGCTCACTTTGGTTTAATAGACTTGTTCTCATTGAGAATAGTAGGGATACCCTTAGCCCAGGGTTTTTCATATTTCCAGCCTTCAAGGAACTATCAGTACCTTGTCCACCACAAAGTCTTTGTTCATTGCAGAGAATTCTAGGATTAACACAGTTTGCATGAGATAAGGTATACGCTCTTGGGCAGCACCGTTGCCCTCTGTGAACTGAGAAGATGCCCTAATATAGAGGGCCCCCAGAAGGCTCCTGCACAGCTGTTTACTCCTTGCCCATTTCATTAAAAAGATAATAGAAATTTGAAAAAAAAAAGTTCTCCTTCCTGTTCCTGGACCTTGTACTAGTCAGCCTTTCAGCAGGCAGAGAGAGAAAGCAAGGCAAAAGTTTGGCGTGGAAGAGAGAGGGTAGAAACAGTAAGGTAGATAAGGGGAAAGAGAAATGGGGATGCTAGAGGCTGGGAAGAGAGGGCATGTGTACACACACTCTCTGTGGAACAGACTGGTTGGGCTAGGAAGCAACTCTTTCTGTTTCATCTTCTACCTCAGCCCTAGCCCTTGCTATCCCCCCAGCACTTCTTGACAAGCCAGGGCTCATGACAGCTTTTATGTGACAGCTTTTATATGCCTATCATCTTATGTGGGAGGCATTTTGTGTTGTGCCCAGAGCAGTTTTTCAAACTCCCAAATATGCCCATTGGGCCAAGAAGATTGGAAACCCTTGCTCTAGGCTGCCAATACTTTTTTGTGACTGTTCATTGGTGGGAAACATGGATTGTTGGATGCCACAGCTGTCTTCTGGGCACCTTCTCTGCCATTCATAATCTTAAAGACTCTGTCTCCTGTGCCATCCTCCCACATGCTTCTAAGGAACTTGTGCATTTGCTGGAATATTTTTTAAATATCCATGCTCTAATGAAGTATGTATAAAATACCACACAGTTGACGACATAGCTTGATTTAAATTACTACATGCATACAAAAAAACCCCCAAACAAACCTGGAGGGGAGAATAGTTTGAATCTGTAATTTTATATAAAGCTTTCCATTTTGTGATCCATGTGTGCATCTTTGTTCAGAAGATTCTAAATAACAAAACATAGATTTGTAACTAAATGGACTTTGTGCTACCTAAGATGTTATCCAGATATTTTCATGATGTATACCACATGCCATTTTGATTATGGCATTATATTTGTTTGGGAACATGAGGAATGGTTCAAGTAATGAATGTCTTTTTATCCATTTGAAAAGACACTCAGCAAGATACTGAAAATGAAGTGCTCAGAACCATTTAAGACCAAGGGTTGGTAGTTATAGCAGAACAGTTTTCCCCTGAGATGGAAGGTCAGTGTTCATGCAGTTTGGCTGGCAGAGTCTTATACATGTGGAACATAGAATGGAACACACTGCAGAGCTTGGGTTGTTAAAGATCATAAGCTACTGTGATGTGTTTTGAATGGGGCTGCATTTAGAGATGGTTTGGGAACTTCAGCTGGTCCAGAATATGACTGTCCAGTTGGTAACCTGTCCTAGTTATGTGCAGCCTATAACTTAACTTTTTAGGCAAGATTTATTCAGGCAATGTTTGTTTCAATAAAATTGGGATAGTGTTATGTTTTTGTTTTGCTTTTAATTGGTGGTTTTAAAATTCATGTATTTCTTCCTTTATTCTTTTGCTTTCTCCTAGTTTGAAATTCAAAGATGGCTTATACATTTTCATGGGGAAATGGGTATGAGATTGCCCATTTGGGCTCACTGGATAATCCTGGTGAAATACAGGGTGGCCTCTTCATGATCCCTGTAAGATCTGATGGTTCCCACATTCCCAGAATAATATATACTTACCCTAAAGACTTGCTGTCCAATTCTAAACACATTTCCTTTCAAATTAGTCCCATTGTGTTTAATTGAAAATCTTATCAGTTATTTACTTCCATAGCTTTTTTGCTTTAAAAAAACAGGTTTTAACTGTGTTCTGTGGAGGGTCATGGATTCACTTTGAGAGATTGTAAATGTTGGTTTTAGAGTTTGTTTTATTTTAATTAAAATTGACATTTAAAATTAAAAGAAATGGTTTTGGACTTTATACAAAACAAACAAAAACCTATCTTGATTGTAATAACTACAGTATGGAAGAGAAAATTAACCTATTTCTTTTCTTTTTTTAATCCTTTGATTTATCCTAAGAATTTGTAGCAGTTTTTTAAAGAAATGTGTGAAGTGAATGAGGAGACAGAGTTGCCTTAATTTGCTAGTAGTTAGTCTAAAGCTACTGGTGATCAGTGTTCTTTGTCATATTCACTATAATAATGGCTGGCTGCTGAAACCATTTTTCTCCAGCTGTGTAGAATTCTGCATCAAATGTAGCTGTGTCCATGCTGTCTTAAGAGATTGTTCACAGACTTGACTTTCTCCCCAAGAAATTAGACCAGGTTGATTATATCAGGTTGATAAAGTGCTGTACAGCTTTCTTTTCTGCCTGAGGTACTTTGCATGGCAATGTAGACAGGAACACTGATTGAAACACATTGGGACTACATTATTCTGTCTTAGGCGTGCTCATCTTGCTTGCCTAGTTTTGGGAGGTAGTTGCTCTTGATTTTGTTGGAGGTGTGAGGGTCAAGAAGAAATACAGCAGTCTGGTGTTTCTGGAGGGGAAGAGTGGGAGTGGGCAAAATGTTAGGAAGATAGACTGAGACTTAAATAGCATGGTGGGAAAGAGGGGGTCATAGAGAATTCTCTTAGGACAGAGCTGACCTCATAAGGACCTACTCTGCCTTACAACTAAAAATCTTAATCTTTTTATTTTGGCAGGACGTGTTTATTATTTCAACCACATCACAAATGCCAGCCAGTGGGAGCGCCCCACTGGGAACAGCAAGAACGGACAAGGGGAGCCGACAAAAGTGCGATGTGCTCATCTCTTGGTGAAACATAATCAGTCTAGGAGACCCTCATCATGGAGGGAGGATAAGATCACCCGGAGCAAGGAGGAGGCCCTGGAACTAATTAATGGCAAGTAAAAGCAAAGGAAAGTGAGAGCTTAATGCATTGAAGCCCTCCTTTCCACATCAGACAATCTAGCACTCCATGCAGTGGTTTCCTTTCATATTTCTGGTGGAGCCCATCAGCCTGTAGAAAAAGAAACCTGTTGCCTCACTCTTCATCCTTCTTGAGCTGAGTATTTCAGTTGCCTATTGGAGCCATCTGTTTTCCTACCAATTTTCCTATGCATAAAATATACAGATTCTAGTAAATGGCAGAGAACTTGGATTCCTAAATGCCTTGTATCTCATTATTTTAACATCCTTCATCCTTAGGATTGTGCTTATACATTTGGAAATGTGCAGTGCCTGTGAAAAGCTGCCCATTCAAAGCCTCCATAGAGATCTGTCCTAGCTTCATTTGACTGTTAATGCATGCCTACCCTTTGCCAATTGGTTACCTCAACCATTGCCCCTTGACAAGCACTTCAGAAGCTGCAAAATGTCTGAAGCGCTGCTGGGTGATATTATGCAGAATGAGTGTATTTGCATAATATGGGGCTAGGGGCATCAGATGTAGGCAGCATTTAGTCCGAAGCATAAACAGTGGTTCTTGTAGAGATGGCACCAGTTAGGCTTCTAAGTAAATATCTAGGGTTTTAAGACCAATTTCCTGCATATACCAGATGAGGCAATAAAACCCACTCCTGAGCTGCAGCATTTCATACTCCAGATGGGGAAGATTTCAATAACTCTTCCCTTGTGTTCTCCAAATGAAAAAAATACATACACAATTCTTTGTGTCTAAAATTTAGCATATTTGAGGGAGGGATCCTAGGTATGAGCTCTTTTCCCTGGTGTCTTTTTTGTATATGGTGAGTCATATGGGAAATATCCAACCCTGTCTGTAGGAGCATTGGCCAGGAACAGTTGACCATCTCATTGCTGCTTGTATGCTTACTCCCTAAACTTATTATGAAGCATAATGTTAAAGTATGAAAGGCTAGTAAAGGAGCCTTCACTTTAGCTAGATGAGGAATAGGCGGTATAAGTTGGGGAATACTGCCCAATACACCGTATTTGATCCTCCCCCTACTCCTCTATCCATACAGCAACTGATAGCTTCACTCCCTCTGATGCTGTAGTCTGAGTATTGCACTGTGGGTGCAATCTGCTAGAAGCAGGCAGGGCTATGTCGAAACTTCTGCAGAACTTTCAACAGATACTTGGTTGGAGAGGGGGAAAGCCCCATTTTCTTCTCATGGTCTAGAGCATTGGTTTTCAACCTTTTTACAGCTGGGGACCAGTGAAATCAGGAAAACCAACTCTGGGACTGTTGAGTCAGAAACAAAAGTACCGTACACATAATACAGTATTCTGTGTATTAGTTTCCAAACACAATACCAAAAAAATGAAAATTCCCAAACAACCAGAAACCAAGCAACAAAAAATGCCAACAAAAGAACAAAATAATGAAATTGATGTAGTGTGGCTCCCATTGGGCTGTCTGTCCCTTCCCTGCTCCCCACCCTTGTGGCACCGGCACACCCCCTGCAAATGCGATGCCAAATGAGGAAGTAGTGGAGCACAGCCAGACCCCACGCCAGTCTGTGGTGAGTGGGATGTGCGCCCCCCATGGACCGGCAGGAAATCTGCAGACCAGCACTAGTCCATGGACCGGTGGTTGAAAACCATTGTTCTAGAGTTTCTAGAGCTCTGTAAATGGACACCCATTGCTGAGGATGCCAGACTTCATTTTAAGTCTTAGTTCAGCAAAGAGGGAGGGGATGCTGACTTATTGCCGTGTTTCCCCAAAAATAAGACCAGGTCTTATATTAATGTTTGCTCCAAAAGATGCATTAGGGCTTCTTTTCAGGTGATGTCTTATTTTTTCTTAAGAAATAAGATTCTTGCTCTGAGAGTCCTCCACAATTCCTTTCTTGTACTTGATGGAGTAGCTCTTTCTTTTTGTACCCATCTTGCATTTTGCATCCATGCATTAAGTACATCCATTACAACACACACCGTATTGACCTTATTCGTGCGTTGTATCTGTACTCTGATTGATCATTCAGCAATAAGTCTCTTGTTCTTCTGTTTACATAGGCATTTACCTCTCATCCAAAGGTGCCCGCTTCGGTACTTGCAAATACTTAATTGTAATGTATATTATCATTTATTTTAAGTATTAATGTTAATAATATTATTTATTTATATTTAATTTTATATTAATATTATTATTTTATAATTCAATACGTATATCGTGTGTTGCAACGGACGTACTACCATGTTTCCCTGTCTGTCTGGCTGATGATCTTAATTGGGGTTTATTTTTGGGGTAGGGCTTATATTATGTGCATCCTGAAAAATCATGCTAGGACTTATTTTCTGGTTAGATCTTACTTTTGGGGAAACACGGTAGTATCATGAATGAACTTGGAGTTGAGGGTATGAGTGGACTCACTTGTAGCACAATTGGTTGGGTAAAATCTCAAATCACTGTCAAATGGTTTGGTGACTGAAATGTCAGTTGCTGTATTTCAACTCATTTCTGTCATTCCACTTTTTAGCACTTTATTTTGTAAAGCCACCCAAGGGGTGGGTTTGTGTTTTCTTTGTAAAAATGTATTTTTATATTGAAAATAAAATTTGTATTGAATCCAAAACCAATGTTCTTTAACACATTTTCCTTTATATTGAATATTAATTTTGCTGGTGGGTGGGAGGCAGGAGGACAACTTAATTGTGGGTAGTTACATGGGAGAAAAAGATATTGCAGGCCTGTATTACCTTCCATATGAAACCTGGTGCGGTGCACGCTGCTGAACCATTCTTGGCTTCTGCAGACATCTGATTAAACTAGTTTTAAAATACTAAACAAGTTCTACTGGAAACACTAGACTTCTGTTTTTCGTACTTGACAGTGGTCAGGTTAAACCCCTGATAGGGTTGGAAGAATCCAAAAAGCCAGTATAGGCAAGTAGAAAACTAATATTAGTGCTTTGGAATCCTATGTCTGTCCTCTAATTTCCATGTTTTCTAGCATTCATAGTACCTTGTATTGCTAGCTAGGTAACAGACTATTGATACCTAACTTGATTTTTTAATATGTTTGACCATGTAAAAATGTGAATGAAAACTGCATCAGGCTTTTGGGGAACTGAAAATTGTGTCTAAATTTGGACCCATGGATTGCTGAATAGCTCTGATTTTTCTCTTTGAATAGCAGTAGTGACAGCATCAGTGCTGTTCTTTGCAGGTCAAATAACCCTGGATTCTTTAATTCCAGATTTGGTGCAGCATGGTCTCTTGAAGCATCTTCTCTTTCTGGTCCTGGGACACAATCTGTGGCTTTCATGCAAGATGGCACATTGCCAGGAGATAGGCCCTTCTACATGCTTTTCTATCCAAGTTGCATTGGTGTGTCTGAGGAGAACTGGCAGGGTTGCTTAGAGGAGGAACTAGGAAGAAATATGGCAAGCATAGAATGGGCTGTTGCTAGATGCTGGAAAGTTTTCTCACTTTGGAATTTGAACTTCTGGGTCAACTAAGGAACAAGACTGCTTTCACTTGGAGCTCACGTTCCTATGGTTCACCGGTGGCAGATTCAAATTGCCCCATTCTATAGTTCCTGGCTGCATGTCTTTTTCATCCGCCCCAGTATTCACAACCAGTAACATCCCTTTGTGATTGGGGTGATGGCAGTGTCATTTAGAATTGACTGTGTCCCTCTGTCTTAAGAGAATTTTAAGTTGTTTCCATTGGATTCTGTGAAGATAAGTGGCTTCCTTGGCATCTTGACCCTTAAAAGCATTTTTTAAAAATATAGCAATCTTGTCTTGTTACCTGTCTTTATAATGCAGAACTGAGGGCAAATTTTCAGAATCCAGTGTAGGGTGCAGGGTCCTGAGCACATCTCCTCTGTCCTGCATCTAATCACATAGCTATATTTCTTGTGCTCACTCCTCTCAGTAAGGGAGGCATCCAAATACTTCCAGAATTCAAACAGTGTCTGCACTAGGTGCCTTGGGACAGTCACTCACTCTCAGCCAAACCTCCTTTGCAGGGTCTTATGAGAATAAAATGGAGCTATGCAAGCCACCTTGGGTTCCTTACAAGATGGGAAAAAAGTGGGATATAAAAGCGGGATATGCTTTTGGAGGTGGGAAGCCCTGACAGACTTCAAAGGATGGAAAAAGGCCATCTGTTGCTTCTAAATTGCAAAGGGCTTTGGGGGCGGGGTGGTAACTGAAGGCTTGAAATGGCTGTTGGCAGAGGGTATAATTAGAACATGGAGAGTGGCTGCATCTCATGTGGGTGTGATGTGACTTCAGGTGAAGGACATTCTTCTGGCTAGACTGAGAGTCATGGCTTTCTGGCATTTCTAGGAGATTCCAGCCCAAGTTGCATATGTTGCAGGTACAGAGGGAGGGCTTGATGCCAGAGCATTTGGGTTAGTAGTGTGATTGCCTTGTTAACAGCTGTTCATCCCTGATCCACCCCTCCCACCCTAGCTTGCAGGAGAGACAGGTGGATTTTTTTATAGTAACCCTTCTTTGGATGTAATCCAGCTGAAGAAAGAAGCACATTTGTTGTCCTGCTGATCTTAGAGGTAGAGAGTTAAGTACATTCTTAATTTTCATGGAAATATGTGGAAAACTTTGGCTGGATTATACCCTAATTGTTTTACCTATTTTGTACAGGCTCTGCTTATGAGAGCTTGAATGCCTTTGGTGTGGGGCAGCTGAAAAGCACGTATGCACTTCTGATTCTGAGAATCTTTTAAAAAGCCCTTTTTTAAAAAAAGAAAAGATAGATGTGTACCTGTCATCTGGTAAGATAAATGCATGTATTCTCATGGAAGAGAATTGAACTCATTGAATTAGATGAGTGTCAGCATATCATGCACAATTTGGATTGCTAAAATTAATTAATGCAAACCTTCCTCTGCCTTGTGCTCTCCAGATATGCTGGACTACAATTCCCAGCATGTCCAGATAGGATGCCTGAAGAAAATTTTAGTACCCGTAC